TGCCGAAGCTTCTTGCCGTGCCGCTTCGCGGGGCTCCGGGGGGGTCGGGACCGGAATTTTTTCCTCTTTCCTCGTCAGGGGCGCTGCTTGCGTGCAGCTTCCAAGTTGAGGCTCTTAAATAATGGGAGTAGGGCTGTGCTCAAGGGTCTGGGTGATGCCGAGCCTCACCGCCTCTCGTGTGGCGGTGCTATGGGGCTGGGGAAGTGGGGTATGCGGGAAGGGTGATGTTAGTTTGGAAAAGTGCTGAAGGGTTAAAGTCAAGTCTTGGCCTCATCCAACCGAGATTTGCAAGTGAAATCCTGCCTTCCTTCAGATGAAGAGTCTTTTTGCCTTTTTTTCCACAGGGTCCAAAATTTCATCTCAGCCATCGCCCTGTGGTGGTGTTGCACTGCTTTGTGTCCAGATTTTGCCTTTTTCAGCTAGGCTAATTTCGCTCTCTGATGATACAGAAATTGGAGGCAAAGTCATCAGGTTTTCTGTGAAACCTCTTCTCTTTAATATCAGTCTGACAGCCTAGTAAAGCCTCTCTTGAAGCAACTGGGAACACTGGAATTGGGTTGATGTCTTTTGCCTTTGACCTTGACTAGCGCAGGGCTTACAGCAAACCAGACGTCTGATGTATGAATGCATTTTAGGTGACTTCCTCACCTTCTGGAGATTGCTTGAGACTTCCTTGACTTGTCACCAAGTCATCCAACCACAGTGGTTGCTGTGTAGCTGCCTGAAATCTATTAGTTTGTTCTTGTTTCACTATCACGTTTGTGTTTGTATGCAATCATCTCGGTGAATGCACATAAAGACAGGTCAATGTGTATTAACGTTAATGTGTTTGTGTCGCTGTTATTCTCATTGTACTTTTGGATGCATTGAAAAAGAATAGCTGATAAAGCTGGAATTGTTTCTGCATAAATATTTGAAGCTTGTGTAGTTTTGCATGTGTTATGAGTTATCCAGCTGGCATGTGGGATATTGTTTGTCACTGACAAGAGTATAATCATAGATGGCAGTGTAAATTAATTTCTGGCAGATATGTCAACAGCACTGCTAGTTAATAGCAGGATTTGGCTATTTAGATGTTTGTTTGTGAAGTTAGAACTATTTATGTAGTAGTTAAAGTACAGTAGACGCTCTCTTGGAAAAGATGCCAGGACTTTGCAACTGGAAGTGAAATCAAAACGGTTGCTGACATTTGCATGAATGAAAACCTTTTTGCTGTTGGCTAAAGTCCTTCACTTGTGCACGTTCATGCACATCTTGTGCTGATGCGGTGATATCCAGATATTGTAAATAGCTTCAGGTAATCTGGGCACACATTGTTCCTGCGCAGCTGGCAGGTTGGCGGCAGTGTGGCTAACTGCTGGGAAATCCCTTCCTGCTTGCAAGATACTCCAGTGGTGGGTGGAGATGCTCAAAGACTGCTGCAAGCATAATGTGAACAGGAGACCAGGACTTCATGCAAGGTGTATGGGGAAGGACAGTCACACCCAGTGCAAGAGTTTGAATTGTTTTGGTATTTTTGCTGACTGATTCTCACCATTGTTATTTACACCAAACTTTTCCCTCATGAGCAAAGGCTGTATAACCTCTGGACAAGGAAGATCTCAGTGTGGTCTTTCTGAAGACTTCTTGTAAGCTGTCTCTAAAAAGTTACAGTAGTTATCAGTCAGACTTTGAGATGGGAAGAACTTTTGTGAACTTAGATTGTTGGAAACCCTACAGACAAATTGAGACAAATCAGTGATCTGCTTAGGCAACCCTGTCCCTGCTTTCCCGTGCTTTTTTTCTTCCATAATACCTTACTGACAGGCATCCTCTGACAGCAACGACTCACTAGATAGTGAGGTGACACCAGCACCTCACTGCACGCTTCCCCTTCTCCCACAGCCTGAGAGAGGCATCTCTGTCTGGGCTGCCTGGAGCTCTGTGGTATTTTTCCAGTCAGTCACCTGGAAGCAAAGAAATAGTTAATGGAAGTGAGAAGCTGCTCTTGAGAATTGTTTGTATACCAGCTTCTTCCTCTTACTTAGAAAGAACAGCTAAAAACTAAATGGCAAACCTTGCCTTTCCTCACTCTTCAAAAGTTCTTGAGAAGCCAATTTTTTGAGACTCAATCCTACTTGTGTTGCTCTTGAAACACTCAAATCTGCTGAAAATGTTCATCAAAAATATATAGGCCCATGCTAAAAGTTCTCATTTAATACACAGCCTGCTTTGCAGTGTCATTGGGCCATCAACACATCTTGTTAAGGAGGCCGTTTTGCCACAGTCCTGAGAAGAGGCTAAGCTCTGAAAGGTACAAAACAGTGTGACCTCACGAAGCAAAAATCTGAGCCCCAAAGCTGCTTTTCTTTCTCCCAGCTGTACCAGGCGACCTAATAAAAGATATCTAAGCAATATACCCTTTACTTGCGTTATAGTGTCAAGAGGACTGCTTTTGGATTATTTTAACATTATGGCTTGACAAGTTGCTCTTAGCATAAATATATGGTTTACCATCAAATCGGTCCTTTGATGTGACTTTCCTTGATCTTTGTGCTTCAACTCAAAAGTCCAAAAATCATTACTGCAGATACTTGCCATGCTAAATTTAATTAAAATATTCTCTTGTTCAAAGAGACTGAGAGAAGACAAACTTGGCTATTTTTAAATATTTTGTTTGTTTGTTTATGAAGGCAGTTCTACAAGTAGTTAAGAAATGGTCTGGATGGTCATACATTCAGTGGTGAACAAGGTTATGATGCGGTGTTTTGTTGCAACATATACATGGGATGTGCAACCTGCTGAAGGCAGTGCCTGATTGTCACAGAAACAATTTCTCTAACAGAATTCAAACTTATATTAGTGCTTTTTAGATATAATGTTTCATCTTATTTCAGGAAAAGAATGTACCCAGGACGAAAGTACAGCTGCAGCTATCTTTGCTGTTCAAATGGATGACTATTTAGGAGGAAAACCCGTGCAGAGTAGAGAAATTCAAGGATATGAGTCTACTGAGTTTGTGAGCTACTTCAAAGGAGGAATTAAATACAAGGTAAAGAGCCAGCTGTCAAAATACATTCTAAAAATATATGTAACATTGTCTCAAGTAAAATCAAATCTTTTGCTTTGTGTCCGTTACTGAAAGTTTAAAAATTGTTTCTTAATGCTTAGTGGTTTTTAGATCTGAACTACCTATCCTAAACTATAGGAGTCTCAGTACTTGTACAGATAGCAGCAGCTTGTTTACCAGTGTCTCTTCTGATAACTGTCCCAGTGATTTGTCTCCTCCTCCCTCCCCAAATCAAGCTATCCTGAGATTTTGTACTTGTGTGTCTAAAGGTGCTCACAGTAGGGACTCTGTCTTTGAGAGGCAGTAAATTTCACAGAGACTTATGTGTAGACTGAATAATTTTGTTCAAATGCACAACCCAATGTGCTTAAGTGGTTAAAAGCATAAACAGAGTGGAAAATACTAAAACCTCACTTTAGTCTAAAAATGGTGCGTCTGCAGTACTACTGCAGTTTTTTTCATTGAGGTAAAAAAACTCCCATATACTTTCCACCAAATTTTTTTTTTTTACAAAAGCTGTAGTTTCAGCCTCCTTGTGTCACTTCCAGAAGCAGAATCTTTGGGAGGAAACTTTGAGACATCTGTGTTTTTTAAAAGTAAAAAGTAATGCATTTCCTGAGAATCTCCTTGTAGTAGGACCTCCAGGAGCCATCACTCAGTCAGCATTTTTCCCATTTATGGAGGTTTGTAACTTGTCACAGTCTACACAGCCCATTCAAGGCTTTTAACTCTGCATAAGAGCTTGACAGTGACCTGCCCACTCTGTTATTTTTTTTTCTTTGTAATTTCAATAAACAGTTTCAACCCAAGGTCTGGATCTCCTGGAGGAGTGGAGAATGCTGCCCCACAGAGGCAGACAGCCGAGCTAGTTTACAGGAATAAGTTAGGTTTTAACTTAAACTTTATAGATCGTAAATCAATAGTTTGGTCTCCCTTCCCCAAGTTTGGTGCACTTTGCTAGGTTCTCTCCTAAGTTGCAGGTATTCCTTTCAGAAAATTACAAAGCTGCTGTGGAATGACTCCTCCCTCTACACATAACCAGGTACTAGAAACACCCAGACCTCTGAATTTAAGGAAGTTGTGAAAACTTGCACAGAAGCTGCACGTTGTCCTGCTTCCTCTCAGTCCTTATTTGATAACCTACTGACTTTTGTCCTCAGTGTGGTTTAGTGTTACTTTATCCTCTGGATGATGCAGGAAAATGTGATAAATCCTGTGCTTTCCCTTTCACTGTTCATCTGAAACCCCTTTGAAGCAGGGTGACACCTGAGTTCAGCAGCAGCAGTGTTCCCCAAGTCCGTCTGGTCTGTGGTCAGCACCATTAAACAGTATATACTTATTTCAGCTCACCTCTCACTGCATAAACTATTTCCCCTGCTAGCTTCTCAGCTGTTGCAAAATGGTAAATTTGCAGAAATCAAACTGAAATAAAACTTGCTGCTTTGTTTTTTTGTTTTATTCAGGCAGGCGGTGTTGCCTCTGGATTTAATCATGTTGTTACTAATGATCTGAGTGCTCAGAGGCTTCTGCATATCAAGGGCCGGAGAGTTGTAAGAGCCACAGAAGTGCCCCTGGCTTGGACCAGCTTCAACAGAGGAGATTGTTTCATTATTGACCTTGGAAGTGTAAGTCTTTCCTATAGCAAAACACTATGAAATGTAAGAGATGCAGCATCCCTTCTGAGGTCTGAATCATCATCTAAAATGCACAACCGATTTTGTCACTCACACAAATTGACAAAAAAGAATCTGCTTTAGAGAATCAGTTTTAGTGTCACAATACTTTGAAGGTTCAAAACTTGCCCTAAATGTTTTCTAAAGTATGCACAGATTATTCTTCAGGAAACAGTTCTCTTTCCCACTCAAGACATTGGGATTTTTTACTACTGATGTTTGAACCTTAAGCTACTGACATTTAAGTCCTGTCTGATTTTGACACTATCTACCAGCTGAATGGGATCAGTGTGAGGGTTCAGAGCAGAACAGATTAGACCTTTCTCTTAAGAGCATTTCTTCGTATTCATAAAACTTTGATTGTGACAATTCACTATAAATAGCTGCAGAAAAAGTCACAATAAACTTGTCATACAACGTGTTATAAAACTACTTGAGTATTTCAAGCGATCACTTGAGAAGCAATCCCATACTTAAAGGCTTTCTGCTGAAAGCAAGTAGACTTAGCGCAGAAGCATATGGACAGGTAAGATAATTTTGCTTGGTTCAGATGACTTATAGTACTGTCACTTTAGTAGCAAGAAGTCTTAAAACGAATTCTGAAAGTAGCAGCTGGGTTATAGGCTGTGTGAGTTAGATGCTAGTTATCAGTTTGAAATTATTCCCATACGTGATATACTGACATGAATAAAATTAAGAGCATATGAAAGAAAATAGTTTATCTGCGAGGCAGCAACTGCAGTTAAGATTAACTGTACTGCTTCACAAGGAAGTGGTCAGCTACTTCAGCAAGATTTCAGAGAATAGTTCCCTGACCTATTGAAGAAGGAGCTCTTCTGAACTCATGTTACAGGTTTGGCTGTTTCTTCTGAAAAGCGTCCCCTGGTGTGATAAGTGAAGATATTTGTATCAAGTAGCTATATTGATTATGTCTGTTTAGAATTTTATCATGCTTAGCAGCCTTCAGATAGAAAAACCACTAGTGTTTTCCTGACATTATCCCATTCCTCCCATGACACTGAGATCTCATCTGAAACAGCCAAGTTATCAGTATCCAAACAGCTCTCTCGATGTCACTTTATAAAAAAAGATGCATAGAAAACTGAAATTGTCTATTCCCGTTCAGAGTTAACCCACAGGAAATGGGAAAGTTGGAACTAAACATTGATAGAAAATTCTGCTTTGGCAGTCAGAGTGTCACAAGGCTTGAGTTTTGTGGTTTGGAGTTAACTTCCCATGGACACCCTGTGAAACTAGGTGTGCTCCATGAATTTGACTTGTTCTGACCTGTATTATGCCACAGTTACCCAGTTTTCCTAAAGTAATTACTCAGGTCATGCTGCAGACAAGGCAATGACACTGATGAAATGCACTGTAGGTATATAGTGGTTATGTGTATAGCTTGGGGTACATCCCATTTGTTGAGGAGAGCACTGTCACTGAGCAATTTATATCTAATATGGCTTTAGAGTCTTGATTTCTAATACTCAATGTCCATTGTGAGTCTTTTTCTTTTTTTAGATGACATCACTCTAGTTTCTGATTTCCTGTTTGACAAGACAGAGGTTAAGCAGCAATGCCACTCTGTGCTTTTGCAGGAAGAAAGATTAGATGTGAACATCTAGATATCTACCATGCTATGGGAAATGTCAGTCAAATCGCATGACTAACAGTTCTTGGTCTGGCCATGTCAGTGGTCTACAAGGGATGGGTTTTCTTGGATGTGTTAAGAAGTTAAGGAAAAAAGTCTATCAGTATCCAGACATTTGTAGTAATTTCATCACAGGTTATTACATAAACCAGACCTTTCTTATGGGAGATGAAAAGGCAGCGTGTGACATACTTGAAGATATGTAAGTCTAGTGAAATGCCTATAGAGAAATAGGTGTGGTGTAAAACTTGCTCAAGATTTCTACTGTGACAGTATATTTTCTAAGAACTACATTTCAAACAGAAGTAATGTATTTTGGTTGAAATTTTCCATGGCTCCATTGTAAGTGGGTGAGCCTTTACAGGAGCTCTTCATTGAATTTAAGGGTCCTTTAAAAAAAAAAAAACAACAGATTTTGGCTCAAGTAGATTACTTAATAATTGAAATAATTAATCTTAAATAAGGTTGCTCTTGAGTCTTGAGATTTATAGCAGGGCACTACTGAATCATTGTCTGAGAATAATGGGCAGTAATTGCATAAAATAATGAACTTATGGTCAGTGCTTTTAATATCAAATTATTGTAGCATATCAAATAAGATGAATTTCCAAGACTTACTTTCCCTAGTCTCTTAGCTAACCAGAAGGATGGTCTCCACGGCACTGCAAAACTGCTTGTGCCGTCCATCTGGTGTTATGTTTTATCAAGCCATTTATATTAGATAATGAAAAATCATTTCCTTTTTCCCACTGAGCTTAATTATAGCAGTATTTTAAACCTGTGGTTTGAACAGATAAGGGAAAATTAAGAAAGGTAATAATGATCAGGAATAAAATCATTGAAGTCACTGAGTTTTCCCTCCTAGTGATAATGCCTGAACTAAAAAGCATTTGTGTACACATATTTACAGGTCAGGTTCTGATGGTTACCTCATACCTAGATACGTTACTAAACCACATTTAAAGATCTTCAGATATCTTACCCAGGTCTTACCTTGCCTCTCTTGAACTCTCCAGGCTGGAACAGAAAATAGCTGCTGATGTCAGAGAAAGCACTGTCTTTGATATGAGGGGAATCATTAGCTGTAGGTAACATGTAAAGACCTTTTATTCAAACAGTCTTCTCTAAGACCATGACATGAGCGTTGTGACCACCAGACTGATGTTCCAGGGCAGTGAGTGATCCAGGAGAGTGCCTGGGGTGCCAGACCCTGATTTGTGATTATTTTATTTCTTTTCGTACAAGGGATTTCCATAACACCACCTTGATGAACCTCTGAGTCTCCCTGGAAGGGAGCCTTTGGGACGGGGCAAACAAGACAAATGCAAGGCAGGTGCTGAGGATGCTTTGTACAGTCCTAGAGTAGAGCACACTTTAACTTGTCAGGTGCTGCTTAGCGTGTCCTGTCCTGGCATAGCTGTGCTCAAGCCCTCTCAGAAGCCATGGTCTTCTGCCACACTTACCATCTGGTCCTTTTGGCTGGAGGGTGCTGAGCTCTTCCTGGTGTCACACCTGAGAGGCACCAGGATGGAGCTGGCAGTTCTTGGTGGCCATAAACTGTCTGGCCTTGCTCTGTGCTGTCCTGTTTACCTCCAGATGCAGCCCCCATCCTCCAGCTACCTCCCCTTAGCCACATCCCTCTTTCTTCCTCTGTCACCAAGACAAATTCTCAAAACAGCAAGCAACATGACAGAGTATGGAAAATAACCATGGAAGGGAAGGAAAAAGATTAATCATTGTGCCATTCAGTGAATAACATACAGTGTCCCAGGCTATTGTAGTATTATCCAGATGCATATGTTATTACAGCTTACATTTCTGATAAGATGTGCTAAAGACTTTCATCTCCTAAATTTTCTTAGTGATTGGTTTATAGTGGGAAGAAAACTTACCAGTATTGTGAAGTTCACCCTACATACATTGGTGTATACTGGTCATGTACAAAACGTGAATGTTTGAGATGCATGGATAATTTGGGTAGTTACCAAAACATGGAGCAGAAGTATTGGGAGTAGCTGTGACGAAAAGAGACTCAACTACAAGGTTCAAGCAAACGATCTACTTGGACCGTACTGGGAGGTTTAACTGCAAGGTCCAAGATAACAGCTTCCACTTGGACTGCGCTTACAGGTTTAACTACAAGGTTCAAGATACTGCAACAATTTACCTGAACTGCACTCGCAGATTCAATAGGCCACTATTGAAAGAGTCTCGACTACAAGGTCCAAGCAAACAGTTTATTTGCAAACAATGTACTTGAACTGCACTTGCAGATTCAATATGCCGCTGTTACAGGTTCTTATAGATACAATGGAGGAATGTAATATTGCAATTTAAAACCAAAATATACACTATTGCAATACACTATCACAGAACACAAGAGAGTCATGGAATGTACTATTGCAGCACAGCAGTCACAGAATACACTATTACACACACAAGAGCAAGAGAACACACAAGTGCACTGGACTTAAAGTGTGCTAAAAAGAAGAAAAAAAAGAAATCAGTTACCTCTCAGGTAAAGGCTCTCAATTCCAGGGAAGTTACCTTGGCCGGCATCCCGATCAAGGGGGGAAAGAATCTCCTCACAGACTGGCTGTGTAGTTGGAGAAGCAACTCCCCATTTCCAACCCAAATCATAGGGCTTTTATCCCCTGATGTACATGACTGTGTGGGTACCATGCCTAAGGAGGGCCTTTAAGGGCTATCGGTTGGTTGGGGGGGGGGAGGGGGGTCGCGTCTTCAAGGGTCTTCAAGGGTCTTCAAGGGTCTTTAAGGGTCTTTAAGGGTGTGACGGAGTTTCCCCTTACCGATTGTGCCTGAATACCGTATCTCAGGCAACTGGACAATGGTTGAATTGAGACTCCGGGCATATTCTTTGTTGAGGGATTTCAAGGCTCAAATCAAGTTTTGGTTCTTTGTACAATGCAGCGCTGACTCACCAGAGAACTCAGGGCTGAGCGATCTACACAGCTCCCCGTGGGTCGTCTCTGCCTCAAGGCAATACAAAGCCGGGTTGCTTCCACAACCCCCCTGTGCCACCTGTGTGCTGGGCATTGCCGAGAAACTTGATTTGGATTTTTGAGCCGGATGATCCATACAGTAGCAATACAGTAAAACAACATGAAGTGATCAGCTGATTTTATTGAAAGCTCTCAACTCAGTTGGGGAAACTCTGCTGTATGAAGGCTGTCTGAAGTTGTGTCCTTAGTGACCAGCAAAAATATTCTCTAGGTGTTTGTTCAGATAGAGTATTGTAAAATGTAAGACTTGATTCTCTCTGTCTGATTTCCCTCTGGAT